TTTGTTTATATTTTCATATATATGTATACGTATATGCGCATATGTATATATGTGTTCATTCAAACATGCATATATTCTATATACATACTTTCTTGTTGAATATATTTTAATTAAATATTTTATTTAAGTGCAACGTGACAACAAGCGAGGTCTGCAAATACATTCAGTATAAATTACACGCATAAGTGCATACATAAATTTGTAAATTTAAATACATATATACATATGCACTTACAAGTATGTGCATATGTACGTGTTCCAAAACTACTATTTGCATATTTTACTTGTTTGGCTTGAAAGAATTCACTGATTTCAAATCGGTTCTTGCCGGTTGTTCTTTCAACAGGATCTCAATTTTCTAAGGACAAATAACAGTGTTTTTGGGAAATTAAAAAAAGTAAGCATACACTAATGTAATATATGTTTGTACGAACGAATTTGTTGCTATTATTAAAGATATTTTGGGCTCGAGAAGACTATTTAAAAATTAATTTAAAGAAAAAAAATCAAGCAAAAATTATCATATAAACCAAATAATAATAATAATAATAATTTGCGTTTCGTAAATGGAAATACACTCGGAGCGGTTGACATAAACGGATTATCTCTCGAAATTATATTAATTCCATAAAGTTAATATTGGAGCGCGAAATTATCTAAAAAAAATTATTTTCAATATACAATAATACAAAAAATAAATCTTCTGTGCTAGAAAATTATATAAAAAATTGTTGAAAAATATTAAATAACTAATTAAATAGTTAAACATTCTGGACATATTTTGCATAGCTAATTATAATTTTAATCAAATAATTAAGAAAAAAGTTTTTGGAAGTAATTTAATACCCACATGGATATTGAAACATTTTATTGATACTCATTTTTTTAAAATACTTTTAATTGAAAGAAAACTTCATATAGTTAATAGTATGTATATAAAAGAATTATATGCAAAAATAAAAGAAAAAAGGAGCATAAAAAAGTTATGAATAAATAAAACTTTTTGACTACAGGGTTTAATTTCTGTTTTAAGCTGTTCTAACTGCGTTAAATTAATTGCAGTACTTGTATATAAATAATCTATACACAAAGTAAAAAATATGAAATAAACTTGTACATACATATGTATATACATATCTCTATAAATGCAAATGTGTTGTGTACGTGTCAATCACATGATACAAGATCGGTCTTTGTAGATCTGAATGCTGTCAGAATGGCTCACATTTCAAGCTTCGATAATGCAAAAATGAAAAAATAAAAATAAAAGAATACGATACCCATTTTCATACTCGTACATCGTGCATTTGTAAGTTCAAGCGTGGCTCATGTATGCATAAATGAATGTAGGAAAAAAATCGCATTTTTTCCATTGTTTGTGCGAATATTTAAATTGTGATACACAAAACGACTGATAAATATGTATACATGTGGCGTGCATGTCTGAGTATGTGTGTATATGGCATGCTGGTTGCGGCTACACGAGCTTGCATTGAAAATGCGGGACAGTCAAATGCACTTTTTTATTTTCATTTTGTTTTTCGAACTTTAATGCCATCAAATTTTATTCGATTTTTCTTAACTTTTTTCATCAAGATTTATTTATTTGTTAGTGAATCTGTATAAAAATGAAATTGTTGCATGAAAATAATTATTAAAATTGAAAAAAAAAAAACAAAGCTTTAAGTAGACTAATTCAAATAATTTTTTCGGCTGAGCAGTTACCAAAAAATGACTGTTTTTCAAGCGGCTAACACCGCATACATATGTATATATATCAAATAAATATATTGTTATTTATATATATTATTTTAATTCATTTTATTTTTTAACTCATTTTATTATTTTATTTATTTTTTTTCGATCAAAAAGTTCACCTCCTTAATTACGTTAATAAAATATAAAAAAATCGAATTTATAATAAATTTGCATAAAATATCTGATGCGCTTGTAATTGTCAGAAAATAGAAACACTTTGAAGGCACGTCAATTAATAGAATAGTCCCCAAACCTTCTAATGACGCTCCTCACACACCAACGTAGAAATTGAAATGAAAAGAAGATGAAATTCTCTTCAAAGTTTTTTGTGTACTTGAAGCATTATAGGTGGCTTGGACGGTCGGAGGAAGGAGGCGGAAATGGTGTAACCGGTAAAATTTTCACCAGCCATTGAGTGAGTAAGGAAAGTAACTCTAAGTAGCAAAAGGGAGCGAGAACTGGCAGTCACTGGGAGATATCAATAAAACTCACGCAGGCACAGGAAGTAGCCGGCAAAATGAGACTGCGCGCTGAGGAATGGGGTTGGAGAAAACATAAAGAGAGATGAAATTATTTTCAGCCCAAAAGGCAGCGAGTTGCACTGTGATGCGCAGGAAGAGAATTAATATAAATGTCATGCACTCACAACGCTCTCCAAGCGCATGGAGTTAGAGTATGTGGGGACCGAAAATCAGCTGGGAGCGAAAATACAATTTTTTTAAGTAAATATATATATATATATATGTATATATATAAAATATGAAATATTTAAGCATGTACATGCCGCAGCAGTTCTTGAGTGAGAGTAGTAGGGAGAATGAAAATGAGTGAATGAATGAATTTGGCAACTCACATGTGTGGCAGGGTGGAAAACAGCTGAGCGCTAGAAAGTAAATACATAAAAGGCAACATATGTAATGGCAAGTCACGTACAAATGTAATCCGCGCGGGAGGGTAAAAATCGACGAAGAGACTTTGGTAGGCAGTGAGTGAAATGCCAACTACAGGCATGGGAAGACGAATGTAATATTAAGAGCAATTTTCGTGCGGGAAAAATCAATTAGTAATGGCAAACGTGTACTGAATGAGCGAAAGAGCATGTAAAAGTAAATGATACAAATGGTTTTATATGAGGGTGGATTACTTGAAGGTGAGTTGAAAAATCAATTTTTCGCCATAGAAGTCTGATGCTACTTAATTTTCGTATGGGGTTTGAATATATTCTAACTTAATATGTAAAACGACTGATGGGAAAACTTACTGAAAGAAGTTAGTATTTGTACTTTGTACAATAGAAATTTCGCCTGCAGGGGAAGCATTAAAATTTATATACTAAATGTTCATAAATTCATTGAAGAGCGCAGCTCCCTGCTCACGTTGAGTAAAATTACATATTCATTGAAGACCAGCTATTGAAAATTACAGCTGTTCTTCACACCACTTTCACACTCTTACCAGCAAATGTTGTGTTTTTAAGAGCGAAAATCTCAACTCCCACTCAAATGAATATTCGCTCTAGTACATTTTCATTTCATTTAATATGGAGCAATAAATATATATAGGAGTATATCCATAAAATACACATTCTAACCAAATTCAGTGTCTCCCATATGCTTTTGCGGAATTTCTCACAAAATCTCTTTACACTCAAAGAGGTTTTCTCTGTAAATTATAATTTGTTTTTCATTAAATACTCTCTTGAGTAGGTAAAGTTAAAGGCCTGTAATATCTGTCCAGAAAGTTTAAATTGAAAAGTAATTTTGATTATATAAATTTCCTGCCATAAAGCTCAGGCAAAGCCGAATTCCTTTGAATCCGTGGTTAACTTCAGCCCGATTTATTTATATCACCCAGTTTTATTTAAAAGCAATTCTCTTTTTTGAGTAAAGTTTTCCTCAAAGAAAATTAAAATATTGTTCACTCATTTCTGCAGAGAAATAGGTTTTCAAATTGCCACTCAAAGTATCTTTACCTTCAATATAAACCTTTATTTCTCCACGAGTGATTTTCGCAGATTTAGTTTTCTCACCATTCACTTAATACTCTCGAGAACAATTTACTTGAAAACAATTCTCTTAAATAAAAAACTGAATATAATTTATTCAAAATTCTCATTGCTTTTATGAGAAAAATTGAGAAAAAATTGTATTACTCTCTCTCCCCGTCTACTAACCCTAAGTCTTTTACATCTCAAATTCGCTCAACTATATTTGGAACATAAGCTCACTCCTCTCTTATTGCCGCAAGTATTTGGAAATGACAAGCACCCATCTTTGCTATCGGCCGCCAAGAACCTCCAGCTGTTTAGCATATGTCATTTGAAAAGTGCTCAGCAAAAGCGCTCAATCTCTCAACTTACTGTCATCTGTCTTTCAAAACACTCTCAGCTCTTAATTCTCTGAATTTGTTCGCCTTCACTCATTACAGCTCACACTGCCCACTCAACGAACTCAACTCACTGAGCATTTCAAATTATATACACTTTCTACTCAGCTCATGCGCAAATTCAGCACTCGCCTTAAAGTAACTCAGAACTCATATTGCCACCTCCCTCAAATTGCTGCCCAACACAAGTAACATCTGTGCGTGCGCATCGGTGGGGTGAAGAAAAAATCAGCTGATTGCTGGAGTCGACCAAACAGATGTTTCGCACGTTCAGCTGTGCGTATGGTGCAAGAGAGTGAGCGAATTTGAAACCTTCACTCGAGCCTCCAATGCACACCAACATACAGAAGTAAGTGAGTGTTACATTTGCAGCGCATGTCTCAAAGAGTTTGAGGGAAAACTGCATGCAGAACCTAGACAAAAGTGAGACTCACACACAAAATACTCAATTCATTTACAAGAACTCGTCCGCACACACTCAACCGCACACACGTTCGGGCATATGTAGGTGCGTTGCATTGTCGCCTGCACATAATGTAAGTGAGTTGAGTAGGGATCTGAAAGATACAAATCGTTAGCCGGGTCGGTAGCTTGTTGTTGTTGGTATTTTTGGTATTGTTGGTATTATTGGTGTGTTTGGTTGTTTGGTTGGTTGCTCGCTTGCTGGCTTGCTTGTTTGGTTGAATGATCATCGAATGGTTCGTGGGTCGGACGGTCGGTCGGTTATTTGGTTGGTGAGTTGCTGTTGTATTGTTGGTTTGCTGCCGTGCTTTGCTTTGCGATGGTCCGTCTCTGTATGGAAAAAATCGTTGATTGTAACAGCCTGGGTAGCCCTATAAATAGCAGCACTTTGAGCCGGTCGGATCCAGTAGCTTCGTAACAACTCTGCTGGTTAAACGTAACGTGGAAATTGGTTTGTGAAGAACGAGAAAAAAAGAAGAGGAACATTGTTTTTTCTAACTCAAAAGAACTACAGAAACGCCACAGCACGAGACTACGAAGAAAATGACTGTAATTAGAAGCAAACAAAAATAGACAAATGACGAAGGACAGCACAGTTACACATTTCACAATTCACGTTTGAGTAGTTTAAGGACAAATGAACACAAAAAGTTTATAAAAATTTTAAACTAAAAAATCTCTGAAAAAAAAATATTTGTAAATTTTAAAAGCTCAAACCAATCTGACAGGAAGCAAGAGCCAACCGATTTGTCAAATGAACCAAGAGCACTGAACACGTCAAAAATGTCAAATTAGTTACAGTAACCCAAAACAACAACAACAAAAATCGACCGATTCAATAGTAGCTTACAGCAAATTGAAACAAAAAAAATAGTCCAAAACTTCAAACAGCCGCAAAAGTTCAATCCCCAACTTGCTCAGCACTAAAAGCAACTCATTTGAAAATAGACCAGAAATTCCCAAAAACAAACGAATGCAAAATTCAGCAAAGACCATAAATTAAATTTTTACAGCAGAAAAATTCTTAAATTTTGCACCAAAACAGGCAGGAAGAGCATTAAAGACGCACACACACACACACACACCGATACACCCGGAGTTACATACAGCGAGACTGGCAGTAAGAGCGAGCTTGTTAAAGAGTACCCCACCACCGACAGCCAGTGGGCCAATAGTAAGAAAACCAGTACAGGAAGCTACCCAAACAACAACAACAACTACGACGACGAGCAGCAGAAGAACCAGAGGAGGAACCACGTACCCAACGAGCGAGTGAACGAACGAACGAACGCTCAGAGAAAAAACCCAGAAGCAAACAACTTGCCAGCCACTGAGTGAAAAGCAAAATCAGCTGTGAGCAGCTAAAGCAGCGAGCGTGTAAGTAAAAAACGTCCAAACCTCCACAGCTCCAGGCAAGCCACAAAGTAAAGACCAAGAGCAAACGAGTGAGCGAGTGTTTGAGCCAAAAGCAGCCGACAGACCACAGAGCCTAGCCGCTTAGTGCCAGCATCGATAGCAGTCAGTAGCAGCTGAGAGAGCGTCGAGTAAGCAACCAAATTTAGAACAATTGGTAAAGTACAACGACAACGAGGAAGACGTAGAAGAGCTCGCAGACGCACAGCTAAAGAATAAAGCTACCGGCAAAAGAAAACTTTGTACGAAACCAAGGACCGTCAAAGGAAAAGAAAAAGAACGTCACATTAACGAAAAACCAAACAGACTTTTTCAAAACCAACGAGCAAAGGTAAGAAGCAAAAGGAAGTGAAAATATTTGCCAATTTGCCATTAACTTTGTGGTCGCGAGCCGAAATAAGTGCAGAAGCCGGAAAAAGTTTGCGAAAAGATTTGCTTTACAAAATCAGCGATACACAAAGAGGCAGCGAAAATCACTGTGTATATGTGCGCATGTAAGTGTCTAGAAAGGAAACGGCAATGAAATAACAGTGAAGAAAGAAACAAAGCCGCAATTAAGAAACGAAAAAGAGTACGCCGGGAAACCGCAAAAGTACATGCAGACATAAGAGGAGTAAAAGAAGTCAAGGCGTAGATAACAAAAAGCACAAATCAGCAGAAGTAGGAAAACGGAAAGACGAAAAATTTATATGTTTTACAACAAAAGTTGAAGAAGCAAGCCAAGTGAGCTGCAGGCGAATTTCCGGCCGACGTGCTGAGAACATCAAGTCAATGCAAGGCAGCCAGTGAAAACAAAAAATCGAGAAGACCTCAGACGTCAAACGTCAGAAAACGCTGCTTGCAAGAAAGGCTAAAACCACAAATTTAAGTAAATACAACAACAACAACAACAACAACAACAAAAACAAGTGATATTTCAGTGCTGTGAATGAGGCCTCTGTCGAGTAAGAAGACTTGACGAAGCCTACAAAGCGTTTTAGAAAGCAAAATAAAAGTCGTCAGCAAGTGAAAAAGCTGAAATGAGAAGACTCCCACGACCAGCCAGCCAGTGAACCACAAAGCAGCAAAATCATTAATTTAGCGAAAAAATCCGTGCAAGCAAAAGGAAAATGTTGGAGGCTTAAAAAGGGGTCGTGTGGAATTGAAATTCATGCTTTCGAAAGAAATTGGGAATTTTTGATAAGAAGGAAAAGCAGAAATTTCGGCTCGACAATTAAAAAAAGCGTTTGGAAATTTTGCATAAGCGTTTAATATACACAAGTTCAGGGATACAAATCATTTCATTTTTGAAAAAAACAAAAAAAAAATAGTAAAAATAATTGTAAACGGTTAAATTTGAGGAAAAAATATAATAAAAAAAAATAATACCACATTGAAATTATTCATAAAAATTTGTAAAAAATAAAATAATAAAGTTATTGAAATTCACAATTAACGCAAAACTAATAAACAACCAACAAAACGTACGGTGTGTTGAGCAATTTAAATAGAAATAAAAATATTTTCGTGTTTATAAAAAAATTGGCAAAATGTAAACCCATGAGAGCGCAGAAATCAACCACACGCACGGGAATCCAAAACAGATAAAAAGATTAATAAACAAATAAAAAGTAATGAAATAAAAGATAAATAGCGGTAGAGCCAACACACAACAACAACTACTCCTTTTTTAACGCCTTTTTAAACTAAAATACAAAACAATAATAAATCACAAGCAAATTACGAAGTAATACTAACATAAATAAATTAAATTAAAAATGATGTTTTAATAAAATACAAATGCAAGCAAAGTTTAAATACTAGAATAACAAATTTAAAACTATATGTATTAGCAGCGATGACGACAAAAGCAAAAACAATTTCAAATTGAACTTAGTTGTTATTTTCCAATTTCGTTTTTGTTAATGAAACATGAAAACTCTAAACTAATAGACCCAACAAATTTATAATATAATATAATAATCTAATGTTGATTAAAATAATTGTTAATTCAAAGAAAACCAAATTAAATCTACTACGTTAAATTCAAGTAAAACTTAATAATACTACAATGCAACCCAGTCTTTAGTACGCAGGAGAAGAATATACAATTATAATAGTTGACGAATTGGTATAACGGAAAACTAACCGAATCGATCAGTCGCGACCAACAGAATACGTCTAATTGTTAATATTTAAGAAAACAAATTTTGTGCCGTTTTGTCTTATGTTTTGCGTTTTCTCCTCAACTGTGTGTTTAATTTTAATAAAAACGAGAACAATTTTGTGATTAAAGTGCATTTCTCTAAGCGTGATTTAATTGAAGAAGAAATAGAAGAAGAAGAAGAAGAAGACAAATTACTCACACTTAACACATATAAATCTTACGTCTAAGCAGCAGTTAAAAATAAAATTAGAAATAAAAACTTATGTTAAGGGAAGAATAAGCAACACAAGCCCAGTTATTTAATTCTAAACACAACAACAACAACCGCACGGTGATTTTGGCACACCAAGCGCGATTTGGACGCTCCACCCGAGACACAATTAATTTTCCACCTACCTAACGGTCGCTGCAGTCCACTGCAGCGCTTAAAACATTAAAATTGGCAACACTACAACAACGCGCTACAACAAACACAACAACACAACAGCAGCAGCTACAGACAGTGCGGACGCCAGCGATACGGGAGCAAGAAACGCCGAAGAAGCAACACCGGGAGCAGTTGGCAACCGGACCAACAACACAATCACACAGGCCAACGACAGCAGCAACAACAACACACCACCCACCACAATCACCAACACTAACATCGCCACTGCAAGTGCAGGCATTAAGAATCTATTTGCGCTTGTTGGCACCGCGACAGCCGTTAGTGCGGCCGTTGACATACCGCCCAGTCCGGTCACGGAGACAGCCGTTGAAGCGACCACAGTCGATCAGACAACGAAGTATTTGGACAAGACGACAGTTGCCAAACGCCGGCAACAGCGGCAACAGCAAGAGCAACAACGTTACAATAAGCTCAGTAAAAGCGTACGAATTAAAAGTGTTGCGACCGCACAGTCACCACAGCTATCGCAGGGAGCGAACGCTAAAAACACGCCTGAAAGTGCGTACGCAGGCGAAGTGGCCGTGTCAGAAAGGTGGAAAGCAAGTAGTGTTGTCGTTATCGGCGGCGTCGATAACGCCAACACCAATAGTGATATTGACGACGACAGTGAGGCTGAAGTTGAGGAGGAGATCGAGGAAGCTGCACAAGAGGGCTGCGGTATCGGTGAGGAATTAACGCTGGCCGCGGCAGCAGAGTGTGTGCAGGACGACGAGAACGTGGACGCATACGCATACGGCGATTTCGAAGCACCACAATTCGAGCTGGACGCCGAGGTGGATCGGCACGCCAAGGACTTGATCCATATCGATCAAGTCTTCGAGGAGTTGCGTCAGAAAATGGAAGTGCTCTCAGTACAAAATCAATATCAGGGACAATTCGGTGTTATCGGTTCAAGCAAGGTTAAAGGTGAGTGCCAAGAAATGCATATTTTTCTCAATATTTACCACCTTTTTTGTTATCGTATTGTCTGTTCGTGCAACAACTGCATTTCTAGCATTAATTTTTTAACTTCTGAGTGTAGTTAAATTTACATAAAAATCGTACAAATGGCAAATTTTTTTAAAACGGTTTTTATGAATTGGCAATTGTTGTGTTTAAATGTTGACTCTCTCTTGCCCATCATTTTGGCGAAATATATAGACTTTTACTACAGTGTCAAATTAGTTCTAAATTTATTTTTCTGCTAATTGGATTTGTGTATTGTTGGTGAAGCTCCAGGAATAAAAAGTTGTGAAATTTTCACTTTATTTTATTTTATTTCATTTTAATTTATTTTTTTATATTATTTTATTTTATTTTATTTTTTTTTTTTTTATTAAATTTTATTTTATTTTATTTTATTTTATTTTATTTTATTTTATTTTATTTTATTTTGTAATATGATTTGTTGTCTTTTATTTTTCTTTTTTGTATTGTTTCATTTATTTTTTTTTATTTAATCTTATTTTTTAACTAATCTACTGGGATTTCTCAAATTTATTATCATCAATATATATATATATATATATATATATATATATGTGTTTATTTTTTCTCAAAAGTTAATTAAATATCTACATTTACAATTTTCCACTTAATTTACATATCTAAACATTTCGTTCCATTATTTAATCATTTTAATTAAATAAGCTCCATTCCCCACTTATTTCTTTGCTGTGTGACTGCAATAATTTCAAAATAATTCATTTTTTGTCAGTTTTTATGTTTTCTTTTTTTTTTTTGTATTGAAAGAATATTTGTTGTTCATGTGGATTAATGGATTCCCATTGAAACTAATTGCTTCCGTTCATTTACATATTGTATGTAAATATGTAAATACAATTAACCGCTATTTTAGAGCAATATTTATACATTAAGCGATTATTTCCGATTTTTTTTTTTTTTTTTGCCAAAAACATATTTTCCTAATAAAGTGATTATGTGGAATTAAAGTACTAATGGGCAATCAATTTTGTAAAATCAAGTAGATATTTGTATATATTTTTTCTCTGCAAGCACAGCTTTAAAAAAGGGAAATTTAATTAATAAAAGTAGATGTTAAATTTTTTTTATATTTTTTAACATTAAATCTCAAAAAAGTCATTATGAAAAACAAAATGTTTTTTTTTTTGATGTGTTTTCATGTAAAATCATTTGTTATATAAATTTTTCTTCTGTAAATTTAAGCATTGGGATATAAAAAAACTCCTGGAAATCCTTTAAACCACTCAAAAACTTATCCTTTTTTGTTGTTTATTATTAATTACATGCTAAAGTTGGGTAATCTTGTTTTTATGAAGTCAAGCATTTGCGAGTGTAGTCAATTCACAGACGGCAAAGCTGTTTTCATTAATATTATTTTTCGGTTGATTAACAGCAACACCACATTAAAAGGCATACATACGAACGCACATGCATAAAGTATGTATGACAAAAAGGCAATATGGCAAACACATATGCACACATATGCATATAATTCAAAATAACACACGCATACACACACAAATGCAATATAATATGCTCATATATTATTTCCAAGCCCGTAATAAACCACTGCCCATGCTCCGTTGTACAATAAACCAACCAACTTTTTCACCCCACCAAAGTGGTTTGATGTGACTCTGCATTTGTTGTCTTACTCCAAAAACAAAGCCAAATAAAATATAATAAAATTTAAATTGTTCTTGCTTTTGTTGCCGGTTTTTCCCTTCGCCGCCATTCCTGCGCTGCGGCGTTGAACTTGTTTTCGCTTTTCAGTTTCAAATTTTGGTTTATCACCAACACTAAGTGATGTGTGTTTGGCTGTGTGTGTGTGTGTGTGCTTGTTAATACAATAGAGACTTCAAATTTCAGGGTCAAAAGCGGCGGCTTCACTCTGCACAGCGCCCATTAAATGAAAATGATATATGACCGGAGCACTTCACACATGACATAACTACACACACACACACACACACACATACCGCTGACCGCACCATATCAAAATACGGAGTATACAGCTGCTGTTGCTGCTGCTGCTGCTAGCTCGTTTGTATATACACGTATGTATATGTTTCTAGGTATGTGTGTGTGCTTTTGTGTAGGAACTTTTTTTGACAATATTCTATTTCATTGTTTCAGGCGAGACTCTAATTTGTATTATTTATTTCGAACATTTTTTTGTATTAATTTCTGCTCGAGTTCTCTTTTTAACTTTTTGTCCGCAGTTAGCGAAAATTTTATTTAGCTTCCTCGTTGGGTAAATTTGGGCTTTCGTTTTTGGGTGAAATTTGAGCACCAAAACGACCAAAAGCTGGCAGGAAATGCTCTAAAGTTGAGCATTCATTCGCACACACAAACACACACACACACGTGCGTATAATGCTTCAAACATAAATTCTCGGATATTAATACAAACTAAAAATCATTAAAAAAATTAAATCAGCTACCACTTTTACAAAGTATTTCCCACCGAGCATGTATATGTATGTATGTATGTACGAGCCGCTTTGTTCTAACGCTAATTGCTGCCAGAAAATTCTGCAAATAGTAAAAAAATAATAATTTATTAATTGTTTAGTCTATCTAAATTGGTCGCGCTTAGCAACGCATTCGGGGAATTCCTTAATTGCCTGGCAGCGCTAAAAAGAAAAAGAAAAATAAAAATAAATTACACTGTTAAAATTTGCCAGAAAAAAAAATCGAAACCACGTATAAGAATTCAAAAAATTATTAAGAAATTGAAAAAATTTAAATTCAATTAAAAGAAAAAACAAAAAAAAAATTATGTAAAAAGGATTGAGAATATTAAGAAAGAGAAAATCTTGAAGAAATGTTAGAAAACATGCAAAAAAATCACTCCTAAAAAGAAGAAATCTAAAATATTAAAAGAAAAAATTAAGCAACGTTGAAAAAATGCGAAAAATTTGGAACATAAAGTAAATTTAAAAATACATAAAAAATATAAAAAATGTTAAAAATTAATATTACAAAAACTCTTAGAACTCTGAAAAAGAATTTAAAAATACATAATTTAAATGAAAAACATTAAAAAATAATTCAAAAAATAAAAATAAAGGTTTTTTAAGTAAAATGCGAAAAAATGAGATTACAAACAAAATCATAATGACATAAAAAAATAAAAAAAAAATTAAAGATGCAAACAAACTCTTAAAAGGAAATGAAAAAGTATTAAAATTAAAATTGTAAAAATCAGCATAGCCGGCAGCTTCATAAATTTTCGATCTTTGTTTATAAAAACAGAAAATAATTTTCGCTTTGTTCAGTCCATGTGCTACCAAGCAGGAAAATTGGCTTATTTCAAGCATATTTTCAGCCCTAATTTTTAACAACAGATATTCAAAAGAACCGATGAAAATAGAAATGAAATGAAATATAAATTGAAACAAGAGAGATCAGAAAAAAAAAATACAATGAGCAGTCCATGGCTCTTTGAAAATAAATTTTTTTCCGTTTTCTAGATAAAATTAATCATATTATATAACTTCGGACAACATACAAGTACATTTATGCAGTCACTTAAAATATGTAAAACATTGAACAAATCTCAAATATACTTTTTAGTATTTTATTTGAATACATTTTTTAACAAACATTTTTTTTTTTGGCCGCACAACGGCACTACGGGCTAGTACGGCTTGTGGCACATACATACGTATGGATGTGTGAACGCATTTTTCACTTAATGTAGTAGGTTTCAAGAAGAGCAACTCATAAATTTTATTGTTCCTCGGAAGCTGGGCATTGGTTTTTGTTATGTTTCCCGGAATTTTTCACCTTTGAAGAAGAAATTTATAAAATTTGGTAGAATCTATTTAAATCACACGAAAACAATTAACAAATTATAAATAAAGAGATGTTTTAAACAGATACGAATGCTAGCAATAAGAAACTGTTTGTCTAAAACACTTGGAATATTGTTGGAAAAACTTGTCGGTAGATAAAAATTTATATTTTTTCGATTGAATATTACTTTTAATTTTAAATAAAGGAAATCTTGTTGAAAAATATATGAGAAATTTTTTTTAATTATTGTTGTAATAAAAATTATATTGCTTCTAGTAGTAGTCTCAAAAGTTTGGTCTAACACGGTTTTTCCGTGATTGAAAAAAATGATTAGTCAGACACAATTTTTCATTCCCTCCCTACACTCTTGTTGGTAAAATTACCTAAATATTTAAAAAATAGCAAAATTGTTCAAAAAAATTTAACTTTCTATATGTTTTTAGACGTATATGTGTATACTATTTACATTCCAACTTAAAACAAATTATTTTTTATTCAATGTGTCAAACTACACACTCACACATTCTCACCGCAGCCCACTAAACTCATTCAAAATGCACAAAAATTCGTCTCTTGTGGATACGTAAGCCAGAAATACGAGGAAAAGCTAAGAATATATGAATTTGTGGCTTAGAGGACTTCATGGACGAGATATGTATGTATGCCATTTGACTTATGCACACACACATACATTAATATGTGTGAATATTAGAGTGAGCTTTTAAAATTAATTTTCCCTCGACGCCTAGTCCCTTTTTCCTCTAAAGAAATTATTCTCCACTAATTTTGGTCCGCTTTCGTCTCTTACAAATGAGACTCAAATCCTTGTCCAACCGATTTAGTGCGCCTAGAAGTATGCAACAACCACCGATATTTGAGAATATTACAATATTAGAGCAGCCTCTCTGTCTTCCTCAGCTTGAACACTCCTTGAGAAAAATTGAGATTTGATTAAAAAAAATTAGCTTAAACCAGCTAGAGACACGAGTTGCCTTTATGTGAACCAAAAAAACAAAATATTTTTTTTAACATCATAAAAAGTTAAACATAAGCGACCACTCTACTATATTTGAATGTACACGTGTATGTATAGGTATATATAGGTGTGTGCATGTGTTCCTAAAAGGACTGCAATAATTCCA